TGGTGGTGAGGTGGTGGTGTGTGGTGGTGGTTGTGGTGGTGGTGGTGGTGGTGGTGGTGGTGGTGGTGGTGGTGGTGGTGGTGGTGGTGGTGCGGCGCGGTGGTGGCGGGCGGATGGGCGCGCGAGAAAGAGGCCCGCGCTGGGGCGAGAACGCCATCCTGAACGACGGAGGCCAAACACCGATCCGAAAATGAGGCCCACGCTGCAGCGGGAGCACGATTCGGAACGATTCGGGAGCAGAAATGAGGCCGGCGCCTCAACGAGAGCATTTTGTATATATATATATATATAATATATATATATATATATATATATATATATAATATATATACATATAATACATACATAATACATAAATACATACATACATACATACATACATATATATATAAATAATAATAATAATAATAATAATAAATATATTTTTTTTTTTTTTAAAAAAAAAAAAAAAAAAAAAAAAAAAAAAAAAAAAAAAAAAAAAAAAAAAAAAAAAAAAAAAAAACGAACAGCGATATGTAGAAGCATATATGAAAGCATTCCCCTTAAGATTCATATGAAAATCCAGTTGTAGAATTCTGCTGTTCTCGCAGTCGTAGTCGCATTCGCGAGGACAGTCGCAGCGGTAACGGCAGTCGCAGTCACAGCCTCAGCCTCAGCCTGCCTCAGCCTCAGCCTCAGCCTGCCTCAGCCTCAGCCTGCCTCAGCCTCAGCCTCAGCCTGCTTCAGCCTCAGCCTCAGTCTGCCTTCAGCCTCGGCCTCAGCCTCAGCCTGCCTCAGCCTCAGCCTGCATCAGCCTCAGCCTCAGCCTCAGCCTGCCTCAGCATCAGCCTGCTTCAGCCTCAGCCTCAGCCTGCCTCAGCCTCAGCCTCAGTCTGCTTCAGCCTCAGCCTCAGTCTGCCTTCAGCCTCGGCCTCAGCCCTCAGCCTGCCTCAGCCTCAGCATCAGCTGCCTCAGCATTCAAAATGTGGCCCAGGAATGGAGTTCTGGGAACTAGAAGAACACGAAGTGGCCTACAGTTGGCTCCGGGCATTCAAAATCATGCCCAGGAATTGAGTTCTGGGAACTTGAAGAGCACGAAGTGGCCTACAGTTGGCTCCGGGCATCGAAAATGTGGCCCGGGAATGGAGTTTTGGGAAATCGAAGAGCACGAAGTGGCCTACAGTTGGCTCCGGGCATCCAAAATGTGGCCCGCGAGTGGAGTTCTGGGAACTCGGAGCACGAAGTGGCCTACAGTTGGCTCCGGGCACTCAAAATGTAGCCCGGGAATGGAGTTCTGGGAGGTCGAAGAGCACGAAGTGTGTGACTGTTGACGAAAAACGAACCCGGCTCTGTTCCCGGTTCTCCAGAATGTGGCCCGGGAATGGAGTTCTGGGAAGTCGAAGAGCACGAAGTGTGTGACTGTTGGCGAAAAGCGAGCCCGGCTCTGTTCCCGGTTCTCCAGAATGTGGCCCGGGAATGGAGTTCTGGAGGTCGAAGAGCACGAAATGTATGACTGTTGGCGAAAAACGATTCCCGGTTCTCCTGAGGAGTCATGATGCTCTCTTTTGACCCTACTAGAAACCTATCAGCAAACGCTGTTAGGTCAAAAAAAAAAAAAAAAAAAAAAAAAACGCAGGCGAGAACCCGTTTCTCGGGAATCCTGTGTGTTAAAAACAATACGCGGGGGGCGTTCGGCCCGAAAATGACGCCGGCGCCTCAGCGAGAGTCGTTTCTCAGGATTTCCCGGGCATCCTGTGTAAAAAAACAGTACGCGGAGAATGCGCGGCCATCACCCGGACGCCATCAGGGGAAGAGGGAGAGTATTTTCAGATTGAGTAATTGTGGAGGGGGGGAGGCGGGGGAGGAGAAGGAAGAGGAGGAGGAGGAGGAGGAGGAGGGAGGCGCCCCGCCTTCGTTTCGAGGCATTGCACCGGGATGGGCGGGTCTCCGAACGGCTGCAGCAAAGCCCACACCTCGAGGGCGAAGGAGTCTGGGTCGTGGACCGGCGCGCCGAAGTCGACCTCGAAGACTGGGGACCCTCCCAGCATCATGGGCGCCGCGCCCTGCGCCGCCACGTGGAGCTTCTCCAGGAGAGCGCGCCCCTCCTCGGCGCCGCCCGCGGGCGCCGGCGCCCGCGCTGGCCCCGCACTGGCCACGGCGGGCGGGCCCTGGGCGGCGAGCGCGCGCGGCGCCCCCGCGCGGATGGCGTCGCGGAGGTGCTGGGACGCCTGCTCGAGGGTGGGCCCCGCCACGACCAGGGACTCGATGTCGGCCTGCACGGCCGCGAGGAGCCCCGCTACTGCGTCATCTGCGGCGCCAGGTTCCGCGGGCGCCGACGCGTCCGCCAGCTCCGCGGCCGGCCCGCGCGGACCGTCGGCCAACGCCCCCACTGGGGCAGGCCGCATGAACTGCATGATCTGGCGCGCGCACGGCTCCATGGTCGCTGCCTTCGGGCCCGCCGCCGCTCCGTTGCCGCTCGGGCGCGGGGGGGCGCCCGCGGTGGGGAAGAGGCTGCTCACTCCCGCCGCCGGCCCCCCGCGCGCGCCAGCACGGCTCGGCGTCGCCGGCGGGGCGGCCCCCGACCGCGGGAGGGCCCAGCCGGTGAGCGTGCCACCCTGCGGCTCCCCCACGCCCGCCGCGCACGCCGCCGGGTGGCCGGGGGGCGGCTGCATGGCGAGTGGCGCTGGTCCGGTGCGACCCGCCACGTCGTCGGCCGCCGCTGCTGCCTGCGCGGCGCCACCTGGCGGCCCGGCGGGCATGGCTGGCGCCGGGGTCTGCGCCTGCTCTTGGCGCGGCGCCACCGCCCAGCGCACCGCGCCGCCCACCCGCCGGGGCCCCCGGCGGCAGGCATATGGGGGCGCGCGCGCACAAGCCCGCCACCGCGCCTGGCGAAGTCGCGGCCGAGTCCCGCGCCCCGCCAGGCGGCGGCCCGGCGCGTCCCGACGCGGCGGCCTGCGGCGGGGCGTCGGCGACGTGCCCGGGCGGAGGGGTGCCCCCCGCTGCGGGTACCAGCGCCGGCGCGGGGGCGCGCGCGCCGCCCGCGGCGTCCGGGGGCGCCGTGTCCCGTGGCCCCCCGTCCGGCGGCGACCTGGCTCCCGCGCGCCCTGCGGCGCGCCCAGCCGCCCGCGGCGGCGCCCCCGCCTCGGCCAGCTGCCCCGCGGCCAGCGCCAACGCCATCGGGCTGAACGGCATGGACCACCCCGCCGCCGCCGGCGTCTGCCCCGCCGCCCAGGGCATGGCCCACGGGAACGGCGCCGCCAGCGGTGTTTCTGCCCGCGGCGCTCCCCCGGGCGTCTTGGGCGTCGCCCCAACGATTATGATGTCGGGTCCCCTGGTGAGGCGCCCACGTTGGGAAAACACCAAGAAAGGTTCAAACTAGGTTCAAAAAAGGTTTCGGCATTTTCGCAAAAGAAGCTAAAAAGAAACCCCGAATGTAGGTCGGGGGAGGGTCGGGCGCGGACAGGCGCGCAAAAAGAAACATCGCATGCGACGGCGTAACAGCAGCGCGCCCAACACATCGTGGATCAGCCAGGCTACAATGTGGGCTCGAAGACACAACCCTGACAGAGTATGAACGACGCCGTCTATCTTGCAGCACCAGGGGTCAAACGCACCACGCTGAATAATTTGGATATTGGCACGGCCCGTGGGTCGGGTTTTACAAAACAACGCGACGCGACGCTGAACTGGAACAGCAGCGGTGCCCATAGACGGAGCGGCACGACAGCTTCCCGCGGACCCCACGTGGGCGCGAAGGCCAAATTCAGAAGACACCGCAAGCCAACACGTTTAACCTGACACGACCCTGGGCCCGAAATGAAAAAAAAATGACAAGGACATGGGATGGCAAAACTGAATTTGGACGCGGAGAAAACGCGGTGGAAGAAACCATCCACGAACGGGCATGGCGTGGATGCGGGGGCGAGGGCGCCTTGGCCTGAGGGTTTTCCTTGGGAGGAGGGGCGCCAAGGGGGAGGCGTGGCATGCGAGGCTCCAGGGGTCGAGACGCGGGACGGGTTTCCAGGATATGATTCAGCAGGTGCCAGGGATCGCGATGACAACGGCGGAAACGGAGCCTGGCAATGACGGGGGGGAGGGGAGGGAACATATTGACATCCCAGAGGGTATCATTGCATCGCACAGGGCATACAAGTAGCGCAGGGGAACATAAGAGGGACCATGATAGGATAAGGCAACGACCTTAGAGCAACATGCCGGCGGCCCTGCTGCAACGCATTGCGGTATACACTACGATCACATGTTTACGATGTCTGTTTTACGTTGCGATGCGTTTTTGTTCTTGATAACCGTGACCATTGGCGCAGCGCCCCAAGATTTCTGGTCGATGGCTCTATCGCCTCACCCCCCCAGCCCCCTGTAGCATGCGGGCAGCCCGAGTACTCGCCAAGTGACCGCGGCGGCGACGACTTCATTGGCGACGAGGATGGGTGGTCGCTGACGGAAGGCAGCGGCGATCGGGGGGCGGGGCCATTGAGCGCGGGGAGGGCGAGGGGAAATGCGTGCGTGTGCGGGGGGGGCACCTGGTAGGACGAACCAAGGCAGGATCGCCGCGGTGTTGAGGGGGGAGGGGAAAGAGCGGCGAACAACGGCAGAATCAGAAAAAAAACATACATGCCACACCAGTGGCTCAGAAGGGGCACGCGGTAAGTCTGGAGGACGGGCGAGAGCTAATGCCGAAGATGATGACGGGAGCAACGAGAAGGTAAAGGAAGTGCAAAGTGGTTGGGTGCGTATGTGAAGGGTGTAGTGGGACATCCTCGTCATCATCTTCTTCACCCAACTCCTCATTATCCTCATCCCTCTGGCCAGGCTCAACGCTTCCTGCCATCATCAAACAATCGTTTGAGACCTGACCAGTTGTTCCTGAAGCCGCTGGCGGTCGTCCCACACGCACCGCCAACGCTCCAAAACAGTGCGCATGGCTGGCGATGCGCGTGGCAAACGCGCATGCCACAGGCCAGCCAGGCACCACGGACGGCGCCCTCGATGAAGAGGCGCCGTCAGAACTTCAGCTTCATGGCGAGCGCCTCCTTCACCTGCTTGCCGAGGAGGCTCGGCAACGCCTTGGCGTAGTCCTCGTGCTTCGCCTTGAACGCCTTCACCTCCGCCTGGGCCCGCGAGCGCAGCGAAGCTGCCGTCTTCTCCGACTTGAAATGGTACATCAAGCACCCCTGGAACTTCGTCGTGTCGAGCTTGCAGAGCTCCTGCTTTGCGAGGTCCACCAACTCGGCCTTCTGCTCGATCCCACCAGCGTCCGCATGCGTCTGGTACAGCACAAGAGCCTTCAAGGCAATCCGAATGCGCTGCACTGCTGATTGCCCCCATCCAACAGCCGAGGATCGTCCCAAGGAGGGCGATGGAAACAAGGTCGGCCCTGGGGGTTCCAATGGGAAACCGACGACTGCGACGAGAGCGACCTGCCAAGGATTGCCAGCGGCTGGCACGGCAAGATAAGCAAACGCAAAAACAAACCATCCCAGACCCACCCTTCGAACGACACGGCACAGCTGGATGGTGGCATCAGCAACGCAACACATCTAGATCCGACCCGCCCTGGCCAAGCCATCCGTCGCTGCGACCACGTCATCGGGGTTCTGCTTGAGCACGGTCCTCCCCGCATGCTTCATGAAGTCGTCCCAGGTCTCCCCCTTGAAGTACTCGGTCCAGTACTTATCACCCATGCCACCGCTGATGGTCTTGGCCTCCTTGATCTTGCCGTTGAGGTTCACGCAGGCACCCTGCACGTACTCGCCATGCACAGCTCTCAGGAACGTCTGCGCGTCTTCCAGCACGTTCCCCACGACGGCAGGGAGGCCCCCGCCCTCAGCACCACCCTTCTGTAACTCGTGGAGCTGCGCAGTAGCCCTGGTCAAGGACACGACCAACTCGAAAGTGGAGTCCGTTGCAATCGCATGCGCTGCAGGGCCGCGGGCCAACAAGTCCTGATGGATCGACTTGACGGCGAGCGTTTTCTCCAGAGCGGCAGTCTCGACCGCGAGGCCGTCAAGGCTCGCGCCGCACTGATTGGCCAGCCCTGCAGCAACAACCACTGTTTCATGAAGCCTCGCGTCGTCCACCCTGCCACCCCCGATCTCCGTGGATAGGCAATGCACGATGGTGTTGGCGAGTCTGACAGCAATAGAGGCGAGGGGATGCTCAGCGGTGATGCGAATCTCCGTCATGAACTTGATTACGGCGCTGCAGTCGGTCAGTGCGAACGCCTGCAACCAATCCGACTCTCGGTCATCATCGTGCGGCCGTGCCAGCTTCTCGAGCTTGTCGCGCACATCGTCCAATTGAGCGTCCCTGGTCATATCCTGCAACTTCGTACCCACGGAAAGCATTGCCTGGCTAAGGGGCTCGGCCATCGGGAACAAGATGGTGGCCTCGGAGAGCACCTCCTGCCATTTCGGGAGCACCGCGCGGTCAACGTGCTCTGGCGGCGCGGCAGGGTCCATGATAATAGCATGCTTCGCCTCGACGAGCATCTGAAAAGCCTCCAGCATGTCGGCAGTAGCCATCGGGGGGAGCTTCTCCTTGAACAGGCCCATGTTTCGGCACATCGCCCGCATCAGCGGGACAAACTCACAAGGATCGTCGGTCATAGTGGTGAGCAGGGTCGCGGCCTCCTGATATGAGGAATCCAGCTTGTCGATGTCCTTCAAAGCCTTGATGTACTCCGTCATCCTGGTGTTCCAGTGGCACGTGGTCTCGACCGCTGCGGCCACCAAACACAGAGACGATCTCGACGTTTTGCCGTAGTGCGCGTGCAAGGCCTGCATGTGTTCCTACGCGCGAGCAGTGCAATCGAGCAAGACACATCGCACCCAGGTGGTCGCAGCTGCACCCCCCGCCCGAAAACACAAACGCACTGGCGGGCGCCACATTCACTTAAATGGTGACCTGGGCTGTCATACGTTTCCATTAGAAAAGCCTCGGCAAACCAACACCAAAACCCAGGCGCTTCCCAGAAAGGCCGGCTGGCCTGGACTTCGGGGTGGCCATGCCTAAAACATGAGCTGCGAGCAACTTAGCTTGCGATGTGCGTCGTTTGCACTGCAGTCCTTTGACTCCGAGTGAAGACCCTTCGACCCCATGGCAATGAGGCTGTGCCAGATCGTGCACCACTCGTCCAGCGAAGCAGCGATCACGTTGTCTGCCTCCGAGAGGTCTACGTCGCGATACGCCTCGCAGCAGTGAGTGGCCAAGCCAACCACCTCGTCCACACTGTCGGGCCCGCCGCGGATCAGGGGGATGAGCACCTTCTCGAAGACGACATTGTTGAAGAGCTGGACCTTGGAGACCAGCTTCTCGCCGCAGGTCGCCACGCGGGGGTCGTTCGGGTCGAAAGCCGCCGTCTGAGCATCACTCCGCCATGGCGTGCATATATCAACCACAGAGCTCCAGTTCTTCGAGCCGATTGCGCCCTGAAGCCTCTTTGTCACCAGCGCGGTCTGGACTGCCTCGGGCCACATCACGTTCTCCTGGATCATCTTGTCGATGTGGGGCTGGAGCTCGCTGAGGGGCGTGCTCTTGATGCGGTCGGGGGTCAGGTTCTCCGCGGACTCTGCCAGCTTGATGACATTGCTGAGCAGCGCGACCTCCATGGATTCCTCGCCCTCACCTGCCCTCATTCTGCCGAGTGCCTTCCGAGCTCCAGACAGGGTGCGCCCGTCCAACTTGCCCGCCATGATGCTGGTCAAGTTGATCCTGCCCTTCCATTTCTCGAGTGCTCCTGGGGGTCTCACACTGCAGGCCAAAGCATAACAACAAACCAAAAGAAACATAGCTTTCGGCACCACAAGGCACCGCACCAAACTCTCGTCTGAACGATTTGGCTCATCTAAGCAGGCATTAGCCCCACGCTGCGCGCTTCCAGAACAGGAGGGACCGATCTGATGCATGCAGGCTACACCCGAGCCAAGCACCGCCAGAATGAGGCCACACAAACTGACCTAACTACTGAATGGCACCCCAATGTTTAGAACAATGGAGTGGCGTGTGTTAGCCGAGTGGGTCCTGGAGAAGTCGCATCACCATGAGCCAAGGCAGTGACCCCCGTGACGCAGCTACCGCGGCTGACGCGCGACTTGGCAACGCTGCGGGAGTCGTCGGCATCAGAGGCGTCTCCGTCAGAGGCCGTGGCGGCAAGGAGGCTGGCCGTGAGCGTCACTCCCCCGTCCTTAGGGGTCGCTGGAGACAGCGAAGCCGTCGGCAAGTTCGCCCCAGCCGAGCCCAAGGCACCACTGTCGCGGGGCGCAGGCGACGCACTGCAAGCTGCAGAGCAGGAAGTGCCCTCGTCCCCGCTGCCGTCGTCATAAGCGCAGCCGCCGCCATCACCACGGCCAGCACCATTCTGCTCGGGCGCACTGGCCTTGGGGAACTGCTTGTCCTTCTGGAGCTTGCCAATGAACTCCTCAATCGTCTGCGTGTGCATATTCTCGTCCCTCGCCAATAACTGGCGCGCACCTGCGTCACCAACCAGCTTGCCGTTGAAGTGCTGGAGGTAGTTGTTGCCTTGCGACTCGAAGTAATTGTTCGCTGAAGTCATGTGGGCGGTCTCCTTGGTCACGCTGACCTCCATGATGACCTCCAACTTGCGGAAGGGCTGGGCGTCGTCCTTGAAGCACATCACCGACTCGCCCTTTGAAGGGTCAGACTCCGATGGCACGGTGACTGTCGGGAGGTTGCCAACCGCGGATTTCGGCAAGTCTTTCTTCTGATGTGCTGCCTGCCTGGGCTCCTTTGCATTGACGCAAACGAAAGACCTGGACACCCCGAGCGTGCACGTCACATCTGACGACACGGAGACGTCCTCGATCCCCTTCGCGCTGCCCGATGCCTTGACAGCCCGAGCACTCGAGACCAAGCCCTGGATGTTCGCGTCGGAGGCGTTCTTCTCGCACAAGTCCTCCCACGACCAATTCATGAAGCCCTCGTCGTGCAAGTCGCTGCACTCCTGGCACCTGTCATCGAGCGGGATCTGATGACCGCCCGCCGACGGCTTGTAGCGCGCCCACGGCTTGTCCTGTCGAGAAAGCGAAGGGAAGACGAATTAGGCACGACGTGCCCAATGCCCCCCGCAAGCACTCGACGCCGAAACTGCATCCAACACGATCCTGTAACATAGAATCAACAGGGAGGATGGGGCCAGGGAGTCAAGACCCACATGCGACATAGCCGAGATAAACACCCCAGGGACATTGACAGAGGGACCAGGGCTGACACCACCGTTGCTTATCAATCTGGATCCTTGGGCTTCTGCGCGCACAGCCCGCACTTGCAGGAGTCTCCACTCTGCCGACGTTTCTTCGGAGGGGCTGGCGGCGGTGGGGCTTCGAAGTCGTCTCCGCCAGCTGCACATGTGCCCTTGGGGCCGCCAGCGCCAGTGCGTTTTCTGGTGGCCTTTACTGGGGCAGCGCTGCCGCCTGCGGCCACCGACATGCGCGACCCTGCCAGGAGACGAACTGGGCTGCCACCGAGCAGCTCGAGAAATAGAAGCAGTGCTCGCACTGCTGAAATGACATTCGAGCCCGAGCAATGAGGCGACTATGATGCTGGGCTGGCTCCCAGGGCACGACCAGGGGGGCAGCGCGAGGATGTCACAATAGAAACGCCAGCTTCGCAACGTCAAACTGCAGCGCCGACAGTCTGACAGGCACCGACTGCGACGTGAGACGGCGAAGGCAGGCCCGCAACCCACGCACACTGCGTGTTGTCTTGGGCCTCGGGGCATCCCTTCGGTATTCGGCACTGCACATTGTCTCATGGGTATCAGGATAGTGCCTTACTGTTGTCATTATGACAGTGCCTGTTGACAAACATGATTAATGTCATCTTTCCTCCCCCCCCCCATCCTCGTTATCATCGCCCAGTCCCCTCCTCCGTCACCCATCCTCCCACGTGAGCCCCATCCCCCATTCCCCCCTGCGGCTAGGAACACACAGCGAATAACGCCTCTGGAAGATTCTGGAATTGGAACCACGAGAACTCATCAAGGACAGAGAGATGGAAGACGCCGACGCTTGTTATCTGAACAGCGGGGGCGCCTTCAGTCGCCAAGCGCCAGCGCAGCACAGCAAGAGAACAGTGGCGTCGCCTGCTTGAAAGGAACTGCATCCTCTCAGCTCGATGCGACACATTCGCTTCACTAGTTCCGCCCCGCATCACCCTCATCCATCGCGCCCCAGGCGAGAACCCGCAAAGTGCCACCAGCCCTTTCGGGTACAGGTGGTCTAGAGAGGGTTCCCTTTATAGTTGTGAACTTGGAGACTCTGCTGGAGCCCTCTTGGTGCCCTCTTGGAGCGCCCGTGGAGCCCTCTCGGGGCCGTATTGGAGCTCCCTTGGAGCCCTCTTGGGGCCCCCTTGGGGCTCCAAGAGCGCACAGGTTTCTACTACCAGACAGGCGCCCGCTGACAGTGGAATCGTTGGCCCTATTGGGGCCATCTTGGAGCCCTCTTGGAGCCCTCTTGGAGCCCTCTTGGAACTCTCTTGGGCCCTTCTTGGGGCCCCAAGCGAGCTGCCTAAACTGGCCCCAACCGGTTCATAACATAACACCTTTTTGTGATTATGGTGGGGGGGGCTCTCGTGGGCACCTCTTGGAGCCTTCTTGGAGCCTTCTTGGGGCCCTCGTGTAACTGTCATGGAGCCCTCTTGGGGCTCCAAGGGGGCTACCTAAACGGCCCCCAACAGAATCATAATGGAGCCCCTTTTTATAATTAGGTTGGCGTGCCTCCTGGGCACCTCTTGGAGCCCTCTCGGGGCCCTCTTGGAGCATTCTTGGAGCCCCCTGGGGGCCCTCTTGGGGGTTGCAGACGACTTCAAACGGACCCCAAGATGACCCGAGGAGAACTCCAAACGGGCTCCAATGGGGGCTCCAGGACAGGCTGAAGGGGGGCCCGACGTTCTGAAACTGGAGGCTCTGTTGGAGCAGGCGAACGGGCGCGGCACAACCTGCCCGCGCGCACCTCTCCGAGACCCCAGCCCCCAAAGACCCATATACATCGTCTCTGGATGGGCTGGCGGGGATGCGCGAAGCGCGAACCAGTTCTCCCCCTCTCCAAGACGGTTCCCCAAGGAAACTGCCTACGTCGGCAGGCTCGCAGGCCAGCTGGACAGGTAACGGTAACTGACATAGCGACGAACACAGACCACATAAACTTGACAGCTGTCCAGAACGCACAAGGGCGCGCTAGCCCAAATTGGTAACCTCAACCAGGACCCACACACCATGTCAGTCAGCTGTTCAGCCGCGAGCCCTCCAAACAGCGTCCTCACTCACTGCTGCTGCTGCTGGTGGAGCTGGCATAGAGGAGTTCGCCGTCCTGACCCTCGCTCTCGGGCACCTGCTCTGGCTGGGCCTCGGGGTTCTTGAAGTTGATGCGCCTCATGTCGGGGTGGACACTGGCCTTCACGAGGAGGTGCGCTGGCTTCGGCTTCACGTGGCACCCCCTGCTCTTGATCTGAGATGCGATTACTTTATACAGGCGCCCAGGACTCCCGGGACATCCCATTCGGGTGCGCAGGGGTGCTATATAACTTGGCCCCCTCCTCAGTTATCAATCCCCCTCTGCGGGCGGGCAGGGCGATTAGGAGCGAGGGTGGGGAGGAGGAGGAGGACGACGACGAGGAGGAGGAGGAGGTGGAGGGGGGGAGATGACGGGGAAGAGGAGGAGAAGGAGGAGAAGGAGGAGGAGGAAGAGGCCGCTGCATGCGCGCGTGCTGTTAGGATGGTTGTGGGGCATCCTTCCTCCTTCCTCCCTCCTTTATATATATAACTCAA